CCGTCCATCCATCCATCCATTCATCTGTCCATCCGTCCATCCATTTGTCTGTCCATCTGTCCATCCATCCATCCGCTCACCTACACACCTACCCATCCACCAACCATCATTCCAGCCACCCATTGATTCATCTGTCTATCCATCCATCCATCCATTCGTCTGTCCATCTGTCCACCCACTCACCCACACACCTACCCATTCACCTGACCACCATTCCAGCCACCCATTGATTCATGTCTACCCATCTGTCCATCCGTCCATCCATCCATCCATTCATCTGTCCATCCGTCCATCCATCCATCCGCTCACCTACACACCTACCCATCCACCAACCATCATTCCAGCCACCTATTGATTCATCTGTCTATCCATCCGTGTATCCATCCATCCATCCATTCGTCTGTCCATCTGTCCACCCACTCACCCACACACCTACCCATTCACCTGACCACCATTGCAGCCACCCATTGATTCATCTATCTATCCATCCATCCATCTGTCCATCCATCCATCCATCCGTCCATCCATCCACCCGCTCACTCACACCCACCATCCACCGACCATCATTCCATCCACCCATTGATTCATGTCTATCCATCCATTCGTCCATCTGTCCGCTCACCCACACCCACCATCCACCTGACCATCATTCCAGCCACCCTTGATTCATGTCTACCCATCCATCCATCTGTCCATCCATCCGTCCATCCATCTATCTGTCCATCCATCCATCCATCCGCTCACCCACACCCACCCATCCACCTGACCACCGTTCCATCCACCCACTGCTCCCTCTCTCTCTGTCGCGGGGCTGCCTGCCCCTATCCGTTCATTCCTCTCCCGGCCACCCACCCTCATGCAGTCTCTCCCGGGCCCTCAGACAAACAGTATCAGAGTCACCTGTCAGGTCTGAAGGAGATTAGCCCTCTCCTTGCTTTCTGAGAGCCCAGCCTGGAGGTGGACCTAGATCCAGGTGAGGACCACCACATCTGTCTGTGGCCAGGCCTGGCCAGGTGGCGGTGGGGGGGTACCAGGGCTGGGGGATCTGGGCAGGGGACAGGCTCTGGCTTGAGGGAGGGTGTTGAAGGCAGCCTAGGTGGCGGAGGGATTCAAGCCCCGCCGAGGTGGGGCCTGAAGGTCAGGGAGAGGAGAGAGCCTGAGCCCTCCGCAGCGCGGCCCTTGCGCCCCTCGCACAGGTTTGGAGGTGACGCCGGGACCCGGAGCCTACAGCCCAGAGAAGGTGCCCCCCGTGCGTCAGCGGACGTCCCCGGCTTTCACGCTGGGCCCTCGCCTGCGCCCGCAGCCCCTGGACACCTCGATCCCAGCGCCCAATGCCTACACTCTGCCCTCCCTGTGGGGGCCCCAGGTCTTCATCAAACCCAGGAGCCCCAGCTACACGGTGGTGGGCCGCACGCCCCCGATCCGGCCCCCGCAGGACCCTGCGGAGATTCCAGGCCCGGGCCAGTACAACAGCCCGGACCCCAATGCCTATCTGCTCCGCAGGCCGGCCTTCACCATGCCGGGGCGGCCTCGAGCCCCGCGCCCTCCCGACGCCACGCCGGGCCCCGGCACCCACAGCCCCGAGCAGGTCACTGTGCACAAGGCCAGGGCCCCCGCCTTCACCATGGGCATCCGCCACTCCAAGCGGGCGACCATCATGGCTGCTGACGCCACACCCTGACGGCCCTCAGGCTGCCGGGAGCTGGCTACCCCACCCAGCCAAGCCTCGGTTTCCCCTGCAACGAAGAGGGGATGTGGGCGGGGCTGGCTTTGGTGGGAGGGGCTCAGAGCAGCCGCTGCAGGGGCCCTGGGAAAGGTTCCTCGGCCCGCCCCCTTTCCGGACTGTCCGAGGTCCTTCTAGGTCACTGTCCTCCTTCAGTCCCAGGGGGCTGTGACCCCGAGGGCCCGCGCAGGGTGCAGGGCGAGCTTCCTCCCAGCGCCCCAGTTTCTTTTCCTGGTCACCCCAGGCCAGGCCAAGCGACGAAAGGGACACCAGGCCCGTCCCAGCTGCTGGCCAGACCAGCTTCCTGTGACCTAGAACTTGGCGTCCACTCCGCTAGGGCCTCGGTCCCTGACGTAGCTCCGGTTTCTGCCAGACTTGGGCTCTTCCTTTCGCCTCGTGCAAGGACTGCGCCGCCGCCGCGGCCCAGCCCCAACCCCCGATGCTCCCGCCCACTCCTACGGTCTAGAATCGCCGCCAATAAATCAGTGCTTGGCACGGAGAACTGTCAGCACCACGCATGCACGTTCCCAACCCAGGAAGGACCTGGACTCCCTGCTCTGCGCCAGGCCGTGACTGTGACTCCAGCTCCAGGGGGTCTGCTTGGGCCCAGAGGGCTGGGGCCTAGGGGTGGAGCCAGGGTTTGCATTGGGGAAAGCTAGGGAGGCTTCCTGGAAGAAGGGGCATGGCAGCTGTGTTTTGAAGGATGTGTAGGAAGCTGATGGGTTCTAACAGCTGCCATCAGTAGGTTCCTCCTAAGTGCCAGGTATTGGTCAAGATCATTAAAGCTTTATAGCAAGTCGGGAGGCAGGTGACGTAGTTTACAGGAAGGAAATGGAGCTCCGAAGACTGGACATTTGTCCAAGGGCGCCTTGGAGGTGGCCACCCAGGACCGCACGCCCGTGTCGCGGCCTGAACCCGAGATCTGAACCCCGGCCATCAGCTCCGTTCCTGCCGCTCCTTCTTAGGGACAGGAAGGGGTACAGGGGTTGGTGGCAGGTCACCAAAGTCTCCGTGAGTCCCCCACGCAGGGAGACAGTAACGCAGGGGCCATGCTGCCAGTGGGACCTGAGGGTTCAGGGGACGCAGGGGACGTGGACGCCCAGCCTGAGGTGGTGTCAGCCGCTCCTTATCCCCCCCGACCCCAGCTCAGCCTGCCACACCTGAACACGCAACCCTTTACTTGACAGCTGTCACCTGCACACCTGGGCCGCCTCCAGACACACACACACACCTCTGGGCCCGCTACACGGGCACGGTCACGTTCCCACCCCTACGCAGCGCACGCACGGTCCACACACGACTCCGGCGTCACGCAGGCCCATGTAAGACTCCCGCAGTGCTGACAGGCCCCACGCACAGGGGACACATGCCATACCCGGAGAGCCCCCTGCAGTCACACACAGGACAGCTCTCCGCCCACGGCTTATCGGTCCTGGTGCAGCGCAGACGTCCAGTCCGCGGCCGCATCCGCGACCCCACTCGCCGGCCAATCACCGCAGAGCGTGCCTGCCCCCATCGCCCGCCCCTGCGGTCCCCTCCTACACTCCCACCGCCTCCCCTCCCGACCGTCGCCTTCCCCTCCCCTCGCTCCCAGCGCCTCCCCCGCCCGCCCGCGCCGCCTGCTCCCCGAGTCCCAGGGCGGCTCCCGCTGTGAGCTCATTTCGCAGATTCATCGATCGGCTCGGCCGCCTCTGCCCTCGCCCCCACCTGCTCGGGCGCCCGCCCCCTCCTTTTGTTTCCAGACAGTCAGCTCTGTGAGGGGTGTGGGACAGGAGGGGTCAGGTCCAGACAGAAGCCTGGAGTGACGGTGACACCCCGTTCCCTGCTGCAAAACAGAAACCCTTGAGGCCGGGGCGGAGGGCTGAGGGGCCCTGAGGCCCAAGGGTTCCGCTGAGCTGCTGCGGCACGGAGCTCTCCGGAAACGGAGCGCGCGGCTGTGGCCCCCCAGCCCATGCTCCATGGCTACAGCCCGGACGGAGGCCCAGCACGGCCCCCCGGCCCTCGGAGGGCCTCTCCCCGACCCCGCCAGCCCTGGCCCGGCAATCCCGTCACGCCTCAGCTGACCTTGGGCGCGCCCCCCCCCCCGACTTTCTAGGACTCAGTTTCCCCGCTAGGAAATGAAGAGGGAGGGAGTCTAGGTCCTTTTCCATCTCAACAGAGGGCAGGGTTGAGGCTGGCGTTAGCCTTTAGGGCTCTCTCTTCCCGGACCGCGCCTCCGCCCTCCTCCAAGCCTCAGTTTCCCCATCTTTGACGAAGGGAGGTAATTTCTAAGCCTCTTCTAGTCCTGCCCTTCTAGAAACCCGGGCGGCTGGGGGTCCCGGGTTCGAGGCTCCCCTAACCCGGCTGTCGGATGCGGGCCACCGCCCGCGCCCTGGCTGGGCCTCAGTTTCCCCGGGCGCATCGGTGCGGAGGGCCGGGGTCCCAGGGGTGCAGCCCCCCGCGGCTGCGCGCTGGGCCGGGCGGATGACATCACCGGGCCGGGGGCGGGGAGGGACCGGAGGCAGCGGGCGGGAGCCAAGCGGCCTCCTAGGCCAGGCGCAACGCCGGGTCCGGCTTGCT